TATACAAATGCGATCGAACGTACTGAAACGAGATTCGAAAGCAATTGTATAGTTTCAATAACTTGTTTTACTGCAAGTGTTACAGTTGATGTATTAGCTGAATCAAAAAATGATTGAATTTCAGACGTTATTTTTTCATCAACAAAATTGCATAAGAAAAACACTATTTTCACCAAAACGTTCCACAAGTTTTGTCCAATTCTTTTGTAAAAATTTCCAAACTATATCTCGACCAACTCGAGAAGATGCACTATTTTCATCTCCATAATGTGAAACAACAACATAAACAGCTGGGCGAATATTTGGATCAATTAAATTTCCATTAATATATTGTTGAAAGCGGTTTTTTGCTTCATCAATAATTGCCTGATCACCTGATTTACCCATAATACGAATTACTGAAGAACCTTTCGCATATGATATAATATCAAAAATTTCGCCAATCTGAGATGGATGACCTATAAAAATATAAGATTTGACATGTGAAAATATATATATGATTCTACTGAATTTACCAATAGGTATTTCAATAGGATGTGATGATTTCAAAGCATCTAGCACAAGAAATTGTGAAAGTACATCCCGTTCAAGATAAAATCTATCAACAGCTAGATATTGAATCCATCTAGCAAATCCTTCATTAAGCCCTAAAAATAAAATTCATAGAAATATAAAATATTTGTTATTTATCTTATATAAATCAGTTCACCAATGCAACACGTTGTCGTGCACTCATGGATGAAAATGTCGGATCAATTAAAAGAGCTATTTCACGATATGTAATTAACTAAATATGATATAATAAAAATACATAGTTCACTACAAGTTCAATATTCGATCACTTACACCCCAATTTTCCATAGCTCTAAAAATAAAAAAATAACATCATTTTTCTATTGAATTTTGAAATTATTTCTAACCTCGAAGCAAAATCTGGTATTGCAATTTGATCAGCTTTGGCAATTGGATATTTAATATTGAAATATTCAGCATATATATATAGAAAGGTAAAACTTTTGAAGCTGTATCCAAAGCAAAAGTACCATGTTGTTTTTTACCAACTTGTGTATAAACTCGCATACTAACACCGTTTGAATCTTTTGCTTCAACATAAGTTAGAATAGAAATATTTTAATAATAAATAGATTTTTCTAAAGATATTTAAATCGGAATATATTTGATAGAGAAGAGAAAAAAATGAATAAAAAGCTTGTTAACTTACCATAAAAATGAATAAGTGATGTGTGAATCAAAATAATACTAATTTAAAATTAATTAGTGTCATCAATTATCCACTATTTTTGATAATATTACTATTTGTTTTTTGTTTGAAAAGATTTTCAACTTTTAAAAAATTGAGAAAATTTGATGAATTCCAAAAATCGAGGGAATAAGAAACAACAAAACAAGCATTATAATTTATATCAAACACGAGATTATCTTTCGCTTTTCATATACTTCTCTCTTCTTATTCTTTTTTTTCCTTAGATATTGATATCATTTTATATATTAATATGAATGTACACGTGTTAAATAGTGAAAAAAAGAAAATATAAGCTGACTTTAACTATAACATTAACAACATGAAGCTGATCTAATAATTTTTATATTTCTAGAATACAACGTAGATAGAATAAAATGTGTATAGGATACATATATATATATATGTGTTGTAAGAGAGATATATTAAGTGATAAAAGAAATGCAAATGAAACTAAATATTACCCAGGACGATGGTTTCTGAAGCAGGATTTCATGGATTTCCAGCAAAATCCCTGAGGAAACGCGCCATTTCTGGGCGAAACCCGCTCGGAAGATGCCAGGAATCCGATGGAGAAGTAAGGTAACCGTATCCGACTGTCGGTTTTGACATGTTCCTACCTAAACCAGATAAATCTGGTCACCGGATCCGTTCAACGGGAATACTACTTCCATGAAATCTCCGGAATACCACGGCACCGGCCGATTCCGTGCCAGATTGTTCGACCTGGGTACTAGTAAATAAGTTAGATAACTTATCTCCGAAGTTTATCTCGTAATATTTAAAAGATCATTATCTGTGTTTTAGATAATATGGAATTCGGAGCTCTAGTCAGTATTTATAAAAACAATTATAATGAAAAGTTTCACGAAAGTTTAATTAATAAAATGTATATTTATACACACTGTATGTTAATTAATAAAAATTTTTTTAATAAACAATCACATGACATTTTTATGGTGTACTTCGAGGTAAGCTCGATGATCGTTATATTATAATTAATATGAACTTATTTATTTATTTTATTAATAGAGGCGTTCCGTCAGTTTCAAGTGAAAACCGTTAGAAAACTGACAGTTTCCGGTCGGAAGTTGCTGGAAACCACTAGAAATTCGGCGCCAGGATGCGGCGACCTTATCCGGTTCTGACAGGTTACTATGAGTTGTAAACATAATCGGATAAGTCCGTTGCCCAGATCCGTTCACCAGAATACTGCTTCCATGAAATATCTGGAACCGACCGTTTCCAGGCTGAACTGTTCGACCTGGGTCTTGAACTACTCTTATAATTAATGAGTTAAAACATATGGACACGGATATAGAAAAAATGAATTGTCAAATTAAAAAACTGCAATACCTTGTTATTGTAGCTAGCATAAGTCAATAAAGCAAAAATTTAAACAAACTTTGTTCTTTCATCTATTTTTTCTATAAGAATTAACTATACTTTCTTTTTTTTTAATAAAAATATAATAAAAACAGCTCTTCTCTTTGGTTTATTTCTTTTCGTTACGGATATTGTAAGCGAATTAGTGTCCTGGGAGAACAAGTTCTTCCGCGTGAACGTGAATTCTCGTGATGAGAACGATGTTAAAAATTGATGTTCCCGAAAGTTATTTTGTCTTGATTTCTAGAGGAATGTGGGTATGAATATAAACAAATCACTCACCCACACCCACACCCAAATGCGGAGAAATAAAAGAAAAATTTCAAGTTTTATTTGTTGAAAACCAATGCGAAAATTAAATAAATTTTAAAGGAAAAGAACTTTTTTGTTTTTTTCTTCTTCAAAATTAAATTTAATTTGATAATTTTCATTAAAAATTTCGAATAAACAAATGTTAAATTCTTCATCTTTGATTGATTTTTATAAAATTGTACAGAAGAAAAGAAAAGAAAATATTTCGTAATCTAAATTGAATTAAATAAAAATTATTTGAAAGGAAGATTTTGGGTTTTATAAAATTCTAAGAATTGTTTAAAATCGAAGCGAAAAGATACATTTTATGAAGGATTGATAATAAAACTTGGATTGCAATGAATTTTGTGGAATTAAACATATGTTGAAAAGAGTTTCATTTTGTGTTCCTGTTTTTTTATTGCAATTTTTCAAGTTTGATGAAAAGAGTAAGAATTTCACGATGTGACTTTTGTTTTTTATTACTTCGTGATCCATATTGAAATTACAAAGTAGATTTTCTTGAGAAAGACTATTATTAGAATAGTTGAAGAAATGATCGAATCAATAATAAAAATTGTTTATTATGAAAACCTAACTAGTAAACGTTGATGAACATTTAATAAAAATGATCAAACTTCATAATGAAACCAATTCCAAAATCTATTTTTTTAAATGTTTTCAGATCAATTTGTCAATTTTGTTTGAAAACATTAACATATTCTTTCGATGCATTAGTGTAGTGAAATAAATTTTCTATATGAATTTATTCAATTATTATTAAATTGATTAAAAATGTAGATATTATTTTGTCAGACTAAACATAAAAAGAATAATTTTTATTTCCACCATAATAATTAGGTGACAAAATAGCGATTATACTTATATACATACTCATTGTAAAAAAAACATTGATTTTATTTATCAATATACTTTGGTAAAATTGTGAATATAAGCGATCAATAAATTTATACCCTTAACGATCTCTAATTAACTACAATTGATTACTATCGATTTGAATCGTTTAAAATTGTATGATTATGGCAGATTTTTAGTCGGAATTTAATCGTGGTTTGCCTGCTTTTTTTCTCGTTCTTTTTATATGCGAAGCAGTATTTTGTTTTTATT